TTTGTAGCTATAATTCTGTTTTAGATTAATGATGTAGTAAACAGTAGAAAACACTTCTATGTTTATAATACAAATGTTAAAAGGTATTCTTTTTAACCGATTCTGTGAGCACTGACTTTTTTTTCCTTGAAATGCATTCTCTGTAGTCTTCTCAAAGTGCCTATGATTATTTTGATTTTTTGGTACTCTTATTTGGATCTGCTGCCTTAAATCATCAAAAGTCAAATAGAATGCAGTATTTGAGCATAGTGAATATTCAGTGGCTATCTTGTTTCCACAGCATACGTCTTATTTAGACTGTTTCTGTTCACTGTTACTGGCCTACACTTTTTTTTTTTTTTTGAGACGGAATTTCGCTCGTTACCCAGGCTGGAGTGCAATGGCGCGATCTCGGCTCACCGTAACCTCCGCCCCCTGGGTTCAGGCAATTCTCCTGCCTCAGCCTCCTGAGTAGCTGGGATTACAGGCACGCGCCACCATGCCCAGCTAATTTTTTGTATTTTTAGTAGAGACGGGGTTTCACCATGTTGACCAGGATGGTCTTGATCTCTTGAACTCGTGATCCACCCGCCTCGGCCTCCCAAAGTGCTGGGATTACAGGCGTGAGCCACCGCGCCCGGCCCTGGCCTACACTTTTAACTCAAAGGCACTGATCAATTTAGCTCAAGTTTCAGTACACGTCCTTGAGCCTGCCCTGCTAATATCATGGAAAGTTTGTTTTGTATTCATCATAAGTCACTGATGTTCTTTATATGTCAAACTCCAGGTAATGTCTTTTACTAAAATTACAGTAGTTTGGAGTTTGAATCTCTTGTCAGACACCTCTGATTCAGTGGTGATTGATTTTAGATAATTTTCATTACAATTAAAGTTTCTAAATATTTGTAAACTTTTGGTTTCTCATGCTTTAACACCTGAGTTAAGTAAAACTGACAAGAACATATTGATAGAAGCATGACAATAAGCAATACTTGGAAAACATATTTATGTAAATAAGATATTTATTGCATTTGCATGTGTGGGTATATGTGTGTGTAATAGCTTCCTTTGATTTTAGTTTATATTGTATGTTTAACAGTCTCTGTACTTTTTCTGGAGAATAGAATGTCATTTTCAGTTGAGAGGACATGAACTCATTTCATTAAATATTATGCTGTTTGTAAAAGATAATTAACCATGTTCTCCTGTTTTAAGATTTGGTAGTTATAGACAAAGATATTTAGGATAAAGATAATCCAACAAGGTTGTAGGTTTTTTAAAAACCTTGAAAATGTGATGTCTCTAATAATCATGAGGTATGCCAATCATGTTAGCGTTCTATAGCCTCTACTTGGGTGGTTGACAAAGATTCTGAAGTGTCCAAAATATGTGTCTGGTCTTGTGGGTAGCGACTATCTTGGCAAATGTTTGTTACTTTCTTTGTCTGGTAAGAATAACAAAATATACCACTGGTTATCCCAGTATCAAATCACTAATGGCCCAGTCTTCATTTTATGATTTTAATGATTCAGCCACTTAAAGGAATGACCAGTTCATGGGGTTTGCAAGAGTTTATGATTGAAGGGAAGAGAGTAACACTGACCTTTCCTTCCTCTCCTTCCCCTCAGGATTATACTTACATAAGTATTATAATGGACAAGAGGGTAAACGTTGGGACCCGACTACATGAGTTCAAATCCCAACCCTACCACTTACTGCCTGGTTTACCTTAGATTTACTTTATCACTCTGATCCTTAGGTTCTTCTTCTGAAAAGTTGGGACATCCTTCACTTTAAATATTTATCCCAATTACCTTTCTTTGATTATATGAATCTTAAATTATCACATGTACCATGAAAATATGTGCAACTCTTATGTATCAATAAGAAAATTAAAAAAAATAAAGGAATAAAGTATTTCATAGGGATATTTTTAATATGAAATATTTGGTTCAGCACTTGGTACTTACCACACTACTACACTTATTGATTATTTAATATTTTGGAAGAAATGCAGCATCTTTCTAAAAGAAAAAAAAAACTTCTAGTGGACTTTTCTTGACATTTTTCTGCAATCCAGCAAGTATCTTGATACCACCGGTATTTGTGTCACTGGGACTGAGGTACTTTTCTCATCTTTCCAGTTTTTGAAGGGCCAACTCTTCATCCCCAAGTTAGACAGAAGCCCCAGACTTGATTATAAATTGGATCTTTTTTCAACTGCAATTTTCTTGGTCTCTTTAGAATTTTTGCAGATGAACTAGATAGCCTTTCAAAAAGAACCTGTTCATTGAATAGAGGTGTTCTGTAGAGTAACTCTAGTTTCTGGAATATATCCACAGAAGAGATGAATCTGCTATAGCACAAGTGCCCTGCACCACCTCAGACAACATAAAGATAAGGGTTCTATCCCTGGGTGTGCACTTGCCTCCCTACACTGGAAGCTTGATTTCTGCTTGCTTGCTACTTGGAACATTGCATACAGACAGATCCCAGGGAAGGGAGTCCAGGCAGAAAGAGGTTTGCACACCCTTTTAGCAGAACTTTATGCTCTAGAATTGTATGCAGTTAACATTGCACTAAGTCACCTGTGAAACTGAAAAAAGAAATTCTGGGCTTTCGGGAGTCGGCGCATGGCTAGGACGTCTTTTTTTGTTTTTTGTTTTTAAGTTCCCCAGGGGATTATTTTACCTCTGGCCTTTGAACCGGCTTTTGGAACCACAGGTCTAAACTTTTCTGACTCTGAGCTGAAAAATAAGCATCCTGTGGTTTTGAGTTTTGCCACAGGCACACTGTTGATACTGAGTTGGAGCTGCTAAATGTGTTGCTTGACTCTGGGAAACTGAGGCTTTGAATGTCTTAACCCCAGAGAATAACTGATTTGAGAAACATGGGTTGTAGGCCAGGCCCATCAAGGATCTAATGGGACCCAAGGGAACCCTGATACTGTGTGGGATTGCACAGGGAGGCTGATGTCCTTCTCCAGTCTACTATTTACTTATTAATTTGTTTGTTCAGCAGTCATTTAAATGATTACAGATCAAAGACATTTTGCTGGGCACAAGGGATCCAAAGACTATAGTGGAAAGAGTACAGGTTTTAGATTTTGCCAGATGTTGGTTTGAATCACTGCTGAGCTATGTGATTTTGCGCTATTTACTTAACTACTCGAAGCCTATTTCCTCATCGGCAAAATGGAAATAATGCTTGCTTTGTGAGTTGTCATAAGGATTAGAAATAATACAAGTAAGGCACCTTACATAGTGCTATAGTTTATTTAGCATTTTTTGTGTGCCAGGTATAATATGTGAAATTTTATACATCTTCTCTTTCATTCCTTATAGAAATGCTGAAGCAGGCACCATTGTTACTACCAGTTTATAAATGAGGGAACTAAGGTTTAGAAAAAGTGTCTACTCCAAGATCTCTAGTTTCTCAGTGGCATAACTCTGCTTTGAATCTAGGGCTGACTCCCCAAACTCATATTCTTAACCTGGTATTCTAGATGCCTGCCAAGGCTAGTATCATGTTATATCCTGCTACGTCTCCAGGTTAGGCCTGAGAGTGATCCATCCAAGAGCTTTTCAGGCATCCATGGCTCTGTGGCAACTAGGGCATGTTGAATTCCTCTCTTGGGAATATGCCATTGGGACAAAAGAGGACTGAGGCTATCGTAAGAGGAAGGTAAGCTGAAAAGTCACAGGGTTTATCAGGGATAGAGTGTAGCCTACATAGACCATGTACAAAGCTGAAGTTGAGGCCAGAAGCCATGAGGGGACCCTGGGAAGGAAAGGAGAGTTCATTTTATAGTAGATGTCAAAGACCCTGTGGCTTTGGTTCCTGACCACTTACAGTGTTTAGATGTAACCCTTATAGCATTGCTTCAACTCTGAGTTGACATGAGTGTAAATAAATATCTCTAATTTGATTGTTGGAAAGTCTAATGAAGATGCTATGGCACATTAAATTGTAGCTATTTTTTAATTTAAAAAATTAAAAAATAAAGATGGGATCTCCTTATGTTATCCAGGCTGGTCTTGAACTCCTGGCCTCAAGCGATACTCCCACCTTGGCCTTGCAAAGTGCTGGGATTATAGGCATGAGCCACTGCACCCAACCTATTTTTAAATATTTACAAACTAGTAGCCATGATATACAGCCAAACAAAATTGCAATCGAAGGTGGTAAATATGAGAATTAGGGCAGTTCAAAGTGCTACAGGGCACAGGGCAGGGAATGCATTTATGATCCTTGGTGGAGCATACATCCCCTCATGTTATCCTGTGTTGACTGTGTTCATGTAAGACCTGCCACTTAGCTGAGTGTTGGCTTGGACCAATAACCTATGCCCTTTTCTTTAAGAGATAGGGTATTGCTTTGTCACCCAGGCTGGAGTACAGTGGCATGATCATAGCTCACTGCAGCCTCAAAATCCTGGGCTCAAGCAATCATCCTGCCTTAGGGTCCTGAGTAGCTAGGACTAGAGGTGTGCACCATACTCAGTCTCATTATCTTATATAGCTGCCATGTATAAACCACTATTTTTTTCCACTTGTGTGTTTTCAAGTTCCATAGAAATTGTGGTGAATTCAGATTAAATAAATGCTTGCCATATGATGACAGTTCTACATGTCATTTCTTGGGCTATTACTTTTTGTTTTTCATTTAGTTAATGGTTATTGATTTAAGACCAAGAGGAAGGTATTACATTTTCTTGTTCTAATGGAATTATCTTAAAAGGTACCTTCCTTTATAGTATGAAGTCAGCCATGGAGGAATGTCATTCTTTTCTGGTTATCCATACCTCCTAATCAAATGAAAACAGTTGAATCATTTTCTCTGCAAACCTGATGTTTTTTCTTACTTAATTTAGGAGTGCCAAATGAGCCTGATATTTATCTGCATTTATTTTGAGTAAATTTAAGGCAGGCAGCTGTATAACATTCTGGCAGCACAGTTTGAGTACTTACTGTTTCCTTCCACAACATTCAATTAAATGAAAATGCAAAAGGAGCACTTACAGGGCCTGGTACAAAGCAGAAATGTTCACCATCTCACCTTACTTTAGGAAACTTGGTAGAATGCATCTTGCTAAAATGTAAGAAAAAGAATAAGCAATGAATCAATGCAGTATAAATTTACAGAAAATGTAAGTTATACATAAGTTGTTATTCAGAATTTATCATTTCATACAGAGTTTCATAGTTAAAATGAGGTCAATGACTTTTTTTGTGTAACTCTGTCAGGGTAATATTGTCTTCAGTGCTTCTCTGCCTCTGCCTTCCTTGCAAAATGACTTTTTCTATAACTTGAGAAATGACTGTCTATTCTTATCCAATGACCTTTAGAATTGGGAAAATATATAAGAGAGTAGCATAACTAGGCTTGAAGCACAGCTTTCCTCTTCTAATTAGCTGTAGGAGCATGGGTAGGTCACTCTAGATCTTCTGTGCTTCCGATGCTTCATATCTAAACCACCTGGCAGAGTAGACTACAGCAGGGCATAGCAAATGCCTAGTATGTTTGCTGTCTTTCCACCCTCACCAGTGCATCCAGCTCACTGTGGTGCTGGAAGGTCACCTTGTCAGGAATCACCACCAAACAGTCAGCCTTCATTCTTGATGTCAAATCTATGTGATAGTGTCAAATTGATGTGACTTTCTGCATCAGAAGATAGTCAAGATCATTTGCAGTTTTACACCTCTGTTCTTATAAATAAGGAATCCAAAATAAGAACCTGTTACTTGCAGGTAGCTTAACTTTCCATTAAGAAAGTAAAAACTGGCACGGTGGCTCACACCTGAAATCCCAGCACTTTGGCAGGCTGAGACAGGTAGATCACAAGGTCAAGAGATCAAGATCATCCTTGCCAACATGGTGAAACCCTGTCTCTACTTAAAATACAAAAAAAGTAGCTGGGTGTAGTGGTGCACATTTGTAGTCCCAGTTACTCAGGAGGCTTAGGCAGGAACCAAGATCACGCCACTACACTCCAGCCTAGTGACAGAGCAAGACTCCGTCTCAAAAAAAAGGAAAGAGACAACCAGAATTTGTGAATAAATGCTTTTCCCCTAAGTCACTATTTGAATAGCAGACTTAACATCTTAATTTTCTTCTCTCATTAGTGCAAGTATCTTTTTAATAGTGGTGCAATTATATTTTTTTCCTTGTGCAGCACTTTCGTCTTGTTACTTAATCTTTGGTCCACTAAAGCAATTACCTATGGTTAGAAAGAAAGATAAAGCCTCCAATGGATGTTCAAAAAGGTACTTAAGAAATTAGAGCCCCAAAGTTGCCCTGTACATTTTTTTTAAAAAAACTATCTCTTCACCAGTACTCGTACAGTAAAAGTGACTTATTGCCCCCTTGTGGTAAAATTGTGCATTTAGTTTTTCACACAGAAATAGTAGTCTTATTTTATGGTTTCTACTACTTGGAAAACTTTGTCCTTTACAATTAACCTAAAGTATTTATGAAAATAACTTCAGATAATTTTAAAACTATCTCATTTGTGCTCACCTATGTGAGACACCATAGAATCCTGTCTTTGAACTGTTTTATGTTTCACTTTGAGGAACTAGAGATTTGAGAGTTGATGTTAAATCAACTAGAGTGATCAACATTATAAGAAACAAGCCCAAATCTCATTCAGATTACCTTCTTATAGTCCTTAAGCTTCAAGAGAGCTGAAGGAGATTTTGGAATATTATTACTGCCCCTTTAAAAGCCATGTCACATACTTGAACAGGGTGTTCTTCAGAGCTGTAAAATGAGGAATTTTTGAAATACCATGTGCAGGAAACCTTAGTGGTAATATAGCTCATTAAAGGTTCAGGTGATCTTCAAGATTAGCTTTTCTTCAATTTCCATCATTTTGAACATGAAATAAAATTTCAAAACCAAATGGGACTTCCTGTCAACAAAATGAGTAACTGATCTGACTCCTAATAAAATGTCTTCTATAAGAAGAATTGAAGTCTTAAAGACAAAAGAAGCCATTTCATACTATTCTGTTTAGGCCCAAAATATGGTACACTTTCACAGATGAAAGAGAAGTAACAGTTAGGCTTCCCATTTAAATTGGCTTATTGAATTAGTTTTACAAATTAGTGTAAACCTATGCAGGTAGTAAGTATCCTGAATCCTGATATTCTGAATGATTGTCACATTTGTATGTTCAGGGAAGTCATTTATTTTGGGCAGTTGTCACTCTACCAATAGTCTTGTAAGAAGAACAACTCTTGTAAGTTATCTCTAGATGGTGTGTAGATTTTTAAAGCACATGATCTTTTATGAAGATTAAATGACTCTTTGGAAAATGTTCTAAGTTGTTACTTGACATTCAAGATGCCCAGTAAACTCTCCTTCGTAGGTGGCTTCTCCTTAGTAGGTGGCTTCTTCTTATTTTTAATACTTTAATGTTTATTGCTTTGTCTCTAGATTGTTTTTTCTTAAAGAAAATGATAGCAAACCATTATCGAAGGATTAGATATTGCCAGTCCTTTCAAAACACAGTTATCTGTGAAATCTTTTTAGTGAAAAGAAGAGTTGTATTTCTAGAGAACCAAATGGTTGTTCCTGAAAATGCCTCTTAAGGAGCTTTGTGCTGTCAGTAAAGAGCCACAGTTGATTCATTTCCTTTATTCTTTCCACCTTACTCTCACTTCTGACTCCAGAGCTGATGTAAATAAGTAACTCTTATTTTATTTATATTTTATGTTAATTAAATAAGTAAAATAAAAATAAGTGAAATTAAAATATGCCGTTTTATATTATGTAAGTAAAATATAAATTATTTAAAAATCAGCTCAATTAATCGTTTCACATTATATACAGACATCACAATATCACATTATATACTATACAGTTTTTATGTCAATTAAAATAAATGTGTTATTCTGAACTATTATGGACAGTGGGGGGATTTTTATCTTAGGCTACATAGGACATAGTGTGGTAGATTTCAGTCTTGCTCTTCATATTTGCCTACTTGGACTGCTTTCTAGATGGAAAAAAGCTTCAAGAAGTAACGTTCATTCTTAATGTCTGAAGTGGTTAGGTCAATAATTTTTAAGCTTTTATATCTCAGATCTAATTACAAGTGATCACTCCACAAAAGAATCTGCTTATTATCATTTCCATCACAGTATGAATGGTTTTGTACTATGGGCTTTTTCTTATATCCGTTACGATGAGTTTTAGTGATATGCAACAGTAGTATTCCCGGATATAAAGTTAATTGCTATTACTTAAAATATAAAATACTTAAGTTCATAGTTGAAAACACACTTTATTCCCTCAGTAATCATAAAGAAGGTCATGAAAAAGTGTAGTCAGGACATCTAAGTACGTTACAATTTTTTAAGTATTAAAGATCTCTGTACATAAATCTTTGTCCAAATTTAAATTATATTCTGAGGATAGAGTCCTAGATCTGAGTCAAAAGTTATGAATATTTTTAATACTTTCGTATACATTGCCAGATGGCATTTCACAAAAGCTGTATCATTTTTGTATTCTCAATGCTTCCTATTGCCTGTCCCGAGATATTCTTATAAGTATTAAGTATTTTTGCTTTTAAGCATCTTTGTAGCGGCATCTCATCTTATTTGGAAGTTTCAAGTGTGAGATTTGATTATTTAAATATATTAGCTATTTTCATTTTTTATGAATTGTGTTTAAGTCTTTTGTCTATTTTTATATGAACTTGAAAAAATATTTTAGAAACCAGTGGTTTTTCTAGGCAATCGCTAATCTAAAATAAATCTCTCTTGCTACTCATTCTTGGGCAAAATTAAGTTGCCCATAAGGAAAAAATAAATGGTCCAATGCTACTCGTCGTTTACAACTCAGTCCTCGTGACTCTAGATGTGAAAGTAAAGCATTTCATGTTTTGGCTCCAGAGTGTTCTCTGAAATATGACAGTATCTGCCAGGTTGGTGGTTACACAGGTTTCTTGTCCCTAAGTTTTAGTGGCTTTGAAGAATGACTCTTTGAGGTGATTTCCAAGTCTCCACGATGAATTTAATAATGCAGTGAAGCTCAGGTTTCAAGTCGAGCATCACAAACTTTTGTCCCAGTTGTGGCTACAACAGTAATTTCAGTTAATTACATCTGTCATGAATGTGCCTTACCTTCCCCGGCTCATATGTTTATATATGTACATATGTATGTGAATGTATTATGTATACACCTATATTTAGAGAAAAGCTTTTATCTCTTTTATATCAAAGCTACTGAAGTTTTTCTTTAGTTTTCTTCCAATATATTTACCCTCAAAGTCTTTCTTAAAACACTTAGCATTATGGAAACCCTAGAAAGCCTCTGTCCCTTACTCTCAGTCATGTACAAGAAACATTGTTCCAATGATGGAAAGATTCTTACCTAAATCTAGTGAGAAGAGAAAGCATTTGAAGACTTTCCTTGACTTTGAGAGTTTATGAAAGAATGAAATCAGTGTCTGACTGGCAGTGGAGTTGGCATTTGCACAGCTTCATGTAATTTGTGACTCTGCCTGTATATTGGTTTAAAATAATCTACCCTATTTCTGATTCTAATAGCAGCAATTCACAGCTTGATGGAAGCAGTATTTCCATAAGTAATTGTTCATCTTTCTCTGCAGAAGAGTTGATAGGTTATGCTCTTGGACCATTTCCACATGTGAGCAAGTCAATGTCATTACATTAGTTATAATGTGGCTTTGATAATATCTTTCTAATTTTGTTCATTTTTGAGGATAATCTTGTCTTGCCAGTGATATTTTACACATCTTCCTTTCATCCTAGGGACATAACTTTTTCACATAGTGTCTCATAACTTTCTAGTGAATGATGACTATAGTATTTTCATTCTACAAACATAGAGACTAAGAGTCATGTGTATGCCTTGCCAAACAGACATCTCAGTTACAAGACTGTGCCTAGCTACCAGGTTTTCTTCTTCCCAGAAGTAGTTTTTCTCTAAACCACATTGCATTGCCTTCCTTAAAAACAGTAGTAACTGGGACCAGTCATCTTCTTGCAACTTTGTAACAGTGCTGAAAAGATCTGCCCTGATTTTAAAGAGATTCCCTTAGGTATGATGTGTCAAAGCCACTGCATTCTCAAGACACTAGGGATAAAGATATGCAGACTTTGTCGTTAGAGTTGGATATGTTGGATGTTGACAATCTCCTAAAGCTCAGACCTTTTTATTTTTATTTTTTGATCCTGGGTTGTGTCTATTCCAACTCTTGTGAACTAAAATGAAAGTTAAATTCATGCCTTGAATCATGCCTTGGGTGACTGGCATCATATGTGCCTTTAAATACTTCCTGTACAGCATACATGTGCTTGGGTATGTGCAGCAGTTGAAGTCTAGAAGTCATTCTCCAAGTCTAATCTGTATCCACAGAGGTAAAGAAATTAAGCGGAAACAGATTAGCATGCTTGTATGTCTAATATAACTTGTTTTCAAATACATAGGTAAAAATGGGGATGTATTTTCTGTTAGCTTTAATCTTACTGGTTTTGTTTCTCATGTTTGAAAATCTTAGAACCTGAAAACGGAATATGTATGAAAGAGCCTTTCTGTATGTTATGCTGCATTTTAGTATTCTTTTATTACTTTAGCTGGGCTTGAAGTCAGAACAACCTACTATGGACCGCAAAATATTTTCAGTTAATTTAGGCCTGTCTGTGGTCAAATCTTGGCTAACCATCTTAATTCCTCTGTATTTGCAATATATCTTATGTGAGAAATGGGACTGGCCAAAAACAAAACCAACCAACCAAACAATAGCACAGAGGTGTCATTCAAGAGAGACTTCTGAGGAAAATCTTTAGGGTTGGAATTAGGGCCCCCAAAACATTGCTTGTTGGAATTGGTACCACCTAGCTTATTGCCAACAGAATAATTGTACAAGAAAAAATCATTTTACATAAATAAGCTTTCAAAAGCATTGCTGAATTTTTGGCCAGAATACCAACTGTTTTATGCAATTATTGAGTAAGTTCCCTATTACACAATATTGTAGCAGCCAGCAAACCCCAAACCATTTAATACTGACAGTTACTTCAGAATAATATAGAGGGTCAATGACATAAAACTGGCCATCTTATAATGAGCTTTTCCTGTTATTTTGCATGGATTGCTGTTCGTGGAAGTCGTACATATTTAACTTTCAACTACATAATTTACATGAAGGACTGAAATTGTGAATGTGAAAAGACTTCTTTAAATAACATATATCCAGTATATTTTTATTCTGTCAGAACACATTTTAAATATATAGCAATGTAAGCTTTATTTTTCCATTCACTTAATTTCGATTTGCTTTTAAAATAAATTCCAGGCTTTATATCAATTAAGCCTAAATCAAATGAATTTAAAATGTAGTCAGCAATGATTTTTTAAACTAAGAATTTGTTATTTAGAGAACATACAGAACTAAGAAACTTCTTCATAACACCTTCTAATTGAAGCTGTTAAAATTTGCTGTTTTATATTAAGTATTTCATTTTCTGCCCCCCTTTGGTGTGTCTCATCATTAGAGACAATGTTACTAAATAGTTGTAACTTTAAGTTGCTTTGATTAATGGTGGCTTAAACTAAGGTTTCATTGGGTAGGATTAACTATGTTTCAAGATGGCAAAATGCCATTATAACATTAATGCCAGAATCTAATGAGAAGCAGAAGTTAGCTTTAAGGACCTTTATAATTTAATATGTGGGCATGAACATTCTCATTCTTTTAATGCAGTGTCCTATTAAATATGTTATTCTTTTAAATCTTTTTTTCTTGTGATAAAAAGTTTTGTTCAGCAAATGATTATTGACCATCGACTAAGTGCCAGTCACTGTACCAAGGTCTTGAAGAGTTAAGCCTGTTTTCCATCCTTAAAACAGATCCTTTCTGATCAGAAAGAACAGAAATAAGAAACGTCAACCTTATTTAGAAATCTTATGGCCTGCCTTAACTTCGTATGACTCTGGTTTCCTAATGCATGTATCTCCCTAGACTCTGGTCTGTTTCCTTTTCATTTCTGACATCAGCCTCCTTCTCCATTGCCTAGATTGAAAAACTGGCCAGCTATATGCCTGGAATGAAAGGGTCTGGGATATGTAATGTTACAGGTATGGGAAGGATGAAGAGCATAAAACTGAATGTCCTATTCCCTATTCGTAGTATTGATTACTGTGGTATCAAGTAGCTATACCGTGGGAAAGAAAAGCTCTGTAGAACTCTGAGATGTAATTGGAAGTAGGGCAAGTAAGAGAGAAGAACAGCCAACAGGATTCTGTCTTGTTCATTGAGACAAAAGTCTCCCTGTACTGAAGGTGTGTAGGGGGTGACTTACTTTCTGCGAAAGACAGGAGACCTTTCCAGTCCTTTTCTGCTCTAAAAAAATCCTACTATTTCTGTGTGTTTAGAACTCAAAGAGGGTGGTAGACCTAGGACGGATGTCTCATGTTCTTTATTCTTTTTTCTCAAAATCTTATGTATGCATACTTAGAAATGTTGAGACCTTGTAAAGTAAAACTGTAAAACTATAACCACAGATGGAGGAAGTAAAACATAGCAGAGGCAAAGAAGAAAAGAGCATCCAAAAAATTCCTGATGGAGGAAAACCTCAACTAGTTAGCTTGTAACCTGGGCTTCCTGATGGCTAAGGCAAAGAAGAGAGATAGGATAACTTGGTATGATTGTCCGGTAGACACATACCACCAGTTCATCGGAAAGCATAAGCTTTCTTCTTGCTCTCCATTAATAACAACTCGTTCAGAGGATTTGGATAAGAAGCCATAAGGTACACAATGAATGATGTCTTCATGAATTTTTACAGAATAAAGGATTGTACATATGTCATTTTATACATTGGTATTTGGAACACGGTGGAAATAATGTTAAAAGCAAGACTCCTTTTCCCCCATGGGGAAGGGAGAGAGGATTTTGAAACTTCTGGTAGTTTGCTATAGATAGATGCTTATTTTCTTTTGACCCACTGACATGTGGAGCAGTAGAAAGATGTAAATATGTGTAGTAAAGGGTAGCATTGTTAAAGGTAGGAGGGAATAAATGGAATTTTTGTGGTAGGATGATATTTGAAAGATGGATCAGGCTGCTGGGAGGTGTTTCAATATGCCAGTTCCTTGTAACAGGAAGATCAGTCTCTGTTTTAGACAGCATATCCAATTTAGTAAATTATTATTATTCTGTCAAAATTAATGTGAACAATTTTCTCTTTGAGGCTGCTTTTTCCATAGGTGATGTTTTCCAGATGGGCTTTGTGCAGTACTCCCAATGTTTTTGTGTTTTCTTTCCTGGAGAAAGAGCTGTTTCTGACATATCTTCATTTCTCTTTGCTCCGATGTAGGGAAGAGAACACCAAAGGTGAAGGAGAAGAGGAACAAGAAGAAGAAAAAGAAGTTGATAGAAAGAGCCCAGGAGCAACACAGCGTCTTCCTAGCTACAGACAGAGCTAACCAATAAAACAAGAGACATACCTATTAGATTTTTGGGGGTTTTTGTTTTTGCAAACGTGCACAAAGCTACTCTCCACTCCTGCACTCTGGTGTGCAGCCTTTGTGCTGCTCTGCCCAGTATCTGTTCCCAGTAACATGGTGAAAGGAAGCACCACCAGCGTGGCCCCTGTGTTATTTATGCTTTGATTTGAATCTGGAGACTGTGAAGGCAGGAGGAAGTGCACAGCCCATGACTTGGCTCAGTGCGTGCTGAGAATCCGTCCCCGGCGCCATGGACAGGCAAGAGGTGTGAGGCTACAGGCCACCGCTGGAGGACGGACTTGTGCCTATTTATGATGTGAAAGAAGATGCTTGGCAGGCAATGCGCTATTCACTTGTGACCTTTATTTCTCACGTTGTGCATTTTCAAGGATACGTTTATGTGGATATCTGCTTAGTGTTACCATGTGGTATTCTCAGCCTCTGTTAACTTCACACTGTTGTGCAATGAAACTGCTTTTAGCTGAGGATACGCTCTGGAAGTTCCTGCTTAGTTTCACAGCAGCCCTAACATGTATATATTCTGCGGGGGCTACATAACAAGCTCTTACTTACTGTATATTTATGCTTTCTTGTGTGTAACAAGTCATACCTGATTAATATGATGTCACTTTGTTTCTAGTGGTTCCTAACCCATTGTCTGGTAAATTACTTTTCTAGTTTGGGGAATTGACAAATGTTTTGTTGCCTCTTGAAACTTTTTTTTCCCCCTCATTGTGGGCGTATTTCTTATTGTAAGGGTAGGATAAACTAGTTTTTGTATATAGATCAAATGACCACAGTCAAAGAGTTTGTATATTGGATAGACCTTCCCCACGCCACATGCCCCACATGTAGATGAAGCAGCAGGTGGCATCTGGCAATCAGAAGCCCAAACTCCCTTTGAGTCTAAGATGTGATGACTTTGATGAAACACAACTGAAAACATGAGGGACTCCATGTAGTCACTTGTCGTTCTCATTATGGAGTTTTACAGGCCAGCTACAGAATTTTCCAAACATTATTTCTGACTGAGTTTAATTTTTTTTCAAATTTAAAGCGATCCCTGACTTTCAACGACAGGGCACCCACCAATGTTCTTGGGTCACCGAAGAACTTACTACCATGAGCCTGTGCACAGAATTTTAGGGGAGAAAAGGATGAATTTCTATGACTGCTGGTCAGATTGTAACAGGTCTCTATTGAGCCAGAATGTTTCAGAGCCGTGATGAAGAGGAGCACTATGGAGACTTTCTAGGTGACTTTCAGAGCAGCTGTTTCAAACACATCATTGTCCACTTGGGGGAACTGGTTTTTAGAAGGCTGGGAATTGGCTTTTTTGAAAAGCATCATTATCTTCCTGGCTGATCCAGGAGAAAATTAGAGAAAAATAATGGTTGTGGATTTCTGAGGAAACAAAGGAAGGTAAAAGCTTTTTTTTTTTTTTTTAACTTTGCATTGGCAAAACTACCTCTTCAGCATTTTTGTTTAACTTTGGATTCAAAAGCATCTTACCAATAAGGATAAATGTCATATACATCATTAATAAAATATTGCTATAAGCCATATATGAATGTTGCATACAACTTTAGAGTTTGCATTTAATCCTGAAGTGATCACCTCCTTTCCTGTCTATTTACACTATTTTCCCATTTACTAAGTGGGGAGGGGGCTCCTTATATAGTGCTTCATTGTTAGTAAGTCAATAACTGTTGTTTCTGGGATGTTCTTTTTGTGCATTAAAAACTTCAAAATTATTTTTTGTGGAGATTTTTTACTTTAGAGATACATTTAGGAATAACTTAGGACGTTGTTCTACTCTCAAAATAACAGTCCTTTAAAAAAGATCTTTCCTGAAATGCATGGCTGGTTCAACATGTACAAATCTATAAATGTAATCCATCACATAAACAGAACCAAAGACAAAAACCACATAATTATCTCAATAGATGCAGAGAAGGCCTTCAACAAAATTCAACCACCCTTTATTCTAAAAACTCTCAATAAACTAAGTATCAGTGGAACATATCTCAAAATAATAAGAGCTGTTTATGACAAACTCACAGCCAATATCATACTGAATGCCAAAACCTGGAAGCATTCCCTTTGAAAACTCGCAGAAGAGAAGAATGCCCTCTCTCACCACTTCTATTCAACATAGCATTGGAAGTTCTGGTCAGGGCAATCAGGCAAGAAAAAGGGTATTCAATTAGGAAAGGAGAAAGTAACATTTTCTCTATTTCTATATGACATGATTGTATATTTAGAAGACCCCATCATCTCAGCCCAAAATCTCCTTAAGCTGATAAGCAACTTCAGCAAAATCTTATGATACAAAAGCAACGTGCAAAAATCACAAGCATTCCTATACACCAATAACAGACAAACAGCCAAATCATGAGTGAACTCCCTTCACGATTGCTCCAAAGAGAATAAAATACCTGGGAATACAACTAATAAAGGATGTGAAGAACCTCTTCAAGGAAAACTACAAACCACTGCTCAAGGAAATAAGAGAAGACACAAATAGATGGAAAAACATTTCACGCTCATGGTTAGGGAGAATCAATATTGTGAAAATGGCCATACTGCCCAAAGTAATTCATGGATTCAATGCTATTCCCATCAAGCAACCAATGACTTTCTTCACAGAATCGGGAAAAAACACCTTAAACTTTGTATGCAACCAAAGAAGAGCCTACATAGCCAAGACAATCCTAAGCAAGAAAAAAAAAGCTGGAGGCATCACACTACCTGACTTCAAACTGTGCTACGAGGCTACAGTAATCAAAACAGCATGGTACTCATACCAAAACAGAAATATAGACCAATAGAACAGAAGCCTCAGAAACAATGCCACCCATTTACAACCATATGATCTTTGACAAACTTGATAAAAACAAGCAATGGGAAAAACATTCCCTATTTAATAAATGGTGCTGGGAAAACTGGCTAGCCATATGCAGAAAGCTGAAACTGGACCCCTCCCTTACACCTTATACAAAAATTAACTTCAGAGGGATTAAATATTTAAATATAAGACCTAACACCATAAAATCCCTAGAAGAAAACACAGGCAATACCATTCAGGACATAGGCATGGGCAAAGGCTTCATGACTAAAACACCAAAAGCAATGGCAACAAAAGCCAAAATAGACAAATGAGATCTAATTAAACTTGAGAGCTTCTGCACAGCAAAAGAAACTATCATTGTAATTAACTGGCAACCAACAGAATGGGAAAAAAATTTTGCAATCTACCCATCTGACAAAGGGCTAATATCCAGAATCTACAAAGAACTTAAATTTACAAGAAAAAAAAACATCAAAAAATGGGTGAAGGATATGAACAGACACTTATCAAAAGAAGACATTTATGCAGCCAACAAACATGAAAAAATCATCACTGGTCATCAGAGAAATGCAAATAAACACCACATTGAGATACCATCTCATAACAGTTAGAATGGCAATCATTAAAAAATCAGGAGACAGATGCTGGAGAGGATGTGGAGATGTAGGAACACTTTTACACTGTTGGTGGGAGTGTAAATTAGTTCAGTCATTATGGAAGACAGTGTGGTGATTCCTCAAGGATCTAGAAATAGAAATTCCATTTGACCCAGCACTCCCATTACTGGGTATATACCCAAAGGATTATAAATCATTCTATTATAAAGTCACATCCACATGTGTGTTCATTGTGGAACTGTTTACAATAGCAAAGACTTGGAACCAACCCAAATGCCCATCAGTCATAGAGTGGATAAAGAAAATGTGACCCATATACACCATGGAATACTAAGCAGCCATAAAAAATGATGAGTCATGTCCTTTGTGGAGACATGGATGAAGTTAGAAACCATCATTCTTAGCAAACTGGCACAAGAACAGGAAACCAAACACCACATGTTCTCACTCATAAGTGGATGTTGAACAATGAGAACACATGGACATAGGGAGGTGAACATCAAATACGAGGGCCTGTTAGGGAGCAGGGGAGCTAGCGGAGGGGAGAGCAGGGGGTGGCAGGATTGGGGAGGGATAACATTTGGAGAAATACCTAGTGTAGGTGATGGGGGGATGGATGCAGCAAACCACCATGGCAGGTGTATACCTATATAATAAACCTGCAGGTTCTGCATATGTACCCCAGAACTTAAAGCATAATAAAAAAAAATCAAAAGACAAATCTTTAAAAACCTATGTTGGTAACTACAACTAGAATACAAACTAGTTTATCTACAAACTATATAAACTATAGTTTAATAGTTAATAGTGGGGATTTTAGAATCCAAGTTCCCGAGTTCTAATCCAGACTGAGAATGGCCTGTGAAAATTACTTAATCTCTACTCTGTTTCCTTATCTGTGAAATAGGGATTACATTATCATATTCCTGTAGAGGCTGAGTTTTAAGGACTAAATGAAAATATACAGGGTTGTACTTTAAGGATACAATTAGGTAAAATGTGTAAAGTATGGTCAGCACAGCATTCTATATATGGTTGGTCACCTATTACATCTTTCATTGGCTATTTAGATTCTTTTTAAAATATTGATTTCTCCTTATTAACAAAATCAAACATTTATGAAAAGCATCAATACCCTTCAATCTATTGCTTGGTGCCAGGGCATTATTTGCTAAAACGTTTACATCTGCTTCATTTCTGAGTCTCCCTGTTGTAAGCAACATATGCAGATACACACAAAACTGAATTCATTCCTGTATCAATAAAGGTGCAGTCAAGGAAATAAACTAGTCAGGGTATTTCAAACAGGGAATTTAACACCAAGAATTGGTTATACAGCTGACAAAGGAGACACGAAGCCAAATATGTTGGTAAGATGACCCAGAGACAAGCAACAGCAGGAGGCATTATTTTACCCCTACTGCAGGAGGGATACCATGAAGAGGTGGAGTTTTCAGAATCCAGAAGCCAGGAGCACCCAGCTAAGAATCCTTAGAACCATAGCTAAGGCTAGAACTATAACCACAGAAGGCCCTGGAACTGAGGACATAAAGCTTGTTTGATAGGAGCTGAAATATTGGAGATGATCTGGTCACTGTGAGAAACGTTGCTTGAGGCAAATTCACAGAGGAAGAAATACCCTGGCTTCTTCCTATCACCCATCCTCCTGTCTTCCACCAGTGCGGGCCATTGCCCAAAGCTGCCCAGAAGCCACTGGGCAAGGGAGTCTGGGTAACATAGTTTTCCATGATGCAGAAGAGCCTGAGGGAAGGGCAGAGGGTAGATCTAAGAGCAAACAAATGATCTGCGTAATCACTGGTACCTGCCTCCAACTGTTCCCCTTCCTGCTTTCTTTTTTGGACAGTTAATTCTTTACCTACTTGATTAAAGTCTGATGTATTTATCATTTACTTCCTTTGTTCCCTACACCTAGTCAATTACCAACATCTAATGAGTTTACCTCGGAAATATCTCCTGATTTTCTCCCTAACTCGTTACTTTCTTTGCTTGAGGTCTGGTCCTCTGTATCTTTTCTGGACTGTTCCACTCTTCCTGAACATCATTCTCGCCCCCAGCTTCACTCTCTCCAATTATTCCTTTATATTTCTACCACTTATTTTTCAATTAACAACTTTTTCTGCTTTTCTTAAAAAATACTTTCCCATTCCCTATAGAATAAAATTGTACAATTCTTCACATAGAATACAGTAACCTTTTAATGTCGTCTTCACTCATGTATCTTACAGAGATCAACAAAAGACTGAATGAGGTGAGATGACTGGTGGAAAATCTTGAAGGGTTCCTTGATGGTAAACTTCGACATGCTCACGTATGAGTTGATACCCCTTGAATCACAAAGACAGAAATAGAAGGGCGGACATGGCCTTAAAAGTAGATGATATTAGCATGTGTGGTTTCTGATAAAGTCGATGATAAACATTAAATCTTTACATCTCTAATTCTTGTTTTAATTCTTGTTAAAACAAAAATAGATATTTAGGCCCAACCCAAAAGTGAAACAATAAAAATTCAAAAAGCAATTTTTCTACACATGGTCTCTCCTTTCTGGATTCATTGAGGCAGGTAGCACCACAACCTTCTAGCATACCCTAACCCTTGACTGAGAGGTTGAGGAATCTGAAAAATGTGTGTGTGATAAGTAAAGATTTGGCAGATTTCCATATTCATCTCTGATGAATCATTACAGCAAACTGCCATGTGCCATCTGCTCCTGCTCTAGCAGACATTGTTACTCACTCACTCTCTACCTTTGAGCAAGACACACGGATTCAGAAATCTTCCCAACAAATGTGTTCCAAGAAAACACTACCAACAGGTTGGAATGGACAGGGGAGGTATAACTTTTTGTTTTCCACGTTCAACTTAATGCCCTAGAGAGTGACAGGTGTCTTCACCCAGAAACACTCTTTGGAATACTTCATAACGTATATTTCAGACCTTTCTGCTAATATCTTTACGGGCAGAGAAGAGCAAATTTATAACTCTGAAATTATAACCTGAAGCAGCCTCATTTTAATCCTAATTTTAAAATAATTCATGCACATTTTGCATTCTACTCAATAAAATGGCTATTTGTCAATACAGAATTATTCCCCTATCCTTTAACATTCCCTCCAAAAACCTTGTAGCAAAATCACATTTCAGGAAGATGTCACATGTTTATTCAGTCCTGGGTTTTACATACTCCTTGGCAAGTAGTTCCTTGTCCCCGGAAAAATGCATATCTTCATTTAAGAAGCTGAACAGTAGTTCTTTGGTTGTGTTC